TCTTTAATCTTCTGAATGACTAATTCCTACTCAAAATTTTATATGTATAATGTTTGGAAGGAAAAATTAACAACAATAAATTAGAAAGTAAGAAAGGGAATAAGAATGTAGAACAAGTAAGCAATGCAGAATTAAAATGTTGTCTAATCTGTTCATCACAAAAAGAATGTTTCATGTTGCTCATTGTCCTCAGCAGTAGATATGGGTTATCTTGCTTCGAGAAACACTGTCTAGAAGACCCTCGATAATTGGAACTTACTGGCTGAATCTAGAGCAGATGGTAGTCCAGAACCTACACAGCCAAAGAAGTTTGTATGAAGCCAGAAAATAAATAACATCCCTCTAGCTTTGTCTAGGGAAAGAAAGCAACAGTAACAACCAGAAAAACTGGCCATCAACATAGGTAATCACAGATTAATCATACTATCCTATAATTTGACATAAATAGCCTCGTTGGGCTGGAACTCTTACTGCATATCACTGTTGCTCTTTCTGTAAGTAGAAATATAAAAGTAGAAAACTCAGAACACTGTATGACTGAGAGAAAATGAAAGCATCTTGGTGAAGAACTAGTGGGAAATCTTTTCATTTGAGTCCTTGATGTGCCAGGCCTGTTGTATATTTGAGTTCCTCACAACAACCTGTGAGATGGGTATTACTATCATTTCCAATTTTTTTTTTAGTTGAGGAATTGAAACTCAATGAGTTTGAGTAAAATTCCAAAGATGAAGTAACTAGAAGGTAGCAATGCTGGAGTTTATGCCCACATATCTCTGCTTTAAAGTCCATGTGACTTTGTCTTAATGTACACTATAAAAGATAGTAATACTTTGATAGATAGAAAGATATGATAGAAGGGTGGATGGATGGATGGTGGCATTTAATTAATACTTATAGAATGAATATATATATAATTATATTGCATAATTAGCTATAATTATATATTTATAATCACACACATTGTAGCTCTTATCATTTTTATAGGTCTGATTTTTTTTACTGTATTCCTTTATCTTTTGTATATGTTCGACATGTTTACCATTAGTCTTCCCTGAACTTTACCTGAACCCTCAGTAAATTTGCCCCTGTTCCAAAAGCCAGGCTATAACAACGAGGCTCCCTCAGGAGATCTGCTGATTAGGCTTCCAATGGGAAAAGGCCATCATTCATGGGGGAAGCTGCCATCTCTACACTGATGACAGCCTTTGCTTAGAGAAAGATTTTTAAACTGACTGGACCATTTGAAACCCCTGAGCAACCCTATATTTGTGATTTCCTGAATAAATGGTAAAATTATAATAATATTAGAAGATACACTTATTTTCTATTTTTAAAGTTTTAACAATATTATTTTCCTCAGAATGGAATACAACGTGTCATGAACTTGGCTCCCACACAGCCTATTTGATTATTCTAAAGTAGCATTTCTTATAATCTGTGAAATTCCTTTGAAAAAAAAAGATCAGTTCTCCTAAGATTGGGCTAGATTATTTTCTTACTAGTTTTGATTAAATACCTACAAATATAAAATCAGCTTATTCAACCATGAAACTCAAACACATTTAAATTAATGTTCTTTCAAACAGCAAATCCAGTAAAATTCAAATGTCCTGCTACTTTCCATCTAAATTAATATTGTTTTGCTAAAACTAAATTATCACTCATAAAACATGTGGTACCAGCTTATATAGTGCATTTTACTTAAGTTGGTCCTGTCTAAACTGTTTGGAGGCAGGTTATGATTCAATTTTCCCTTCATTTATCTCTGTTTAGAATATTTTGAGAGCCTGTACAGTGCCTGAAGATGTCACTTGACCCACACCTCATGTAAATGCATTCTTTATTGACTTCACCTCTGTTCTTGTTAGCTAAGAACGTGCAAACTAGTTCTCCCTGGCATCAAAATTATTGTAAATATACTCTCAAGCAAAATGACTAGTGTAATTATGTAGCTCACTTTTAATTTGTTCACATAAATTAGCAGATATTTGTATTATTTTTATTGGACTGTCTTCCCAATGTAAACAAATTTCATTTTTTTAACTGCTCTCAGATCCTGGAAAATTCTTCAGAAAGTACAGAAGAATTTTGGAACCCCATTTAATCCAGAATGCATCAAAATCTTAAGAATACAATAAATTATATAAATGGGGGGGTTAAGTTAGTAAATATAGTAACAGGCACAGATTGCTTCTGAATTTGTGTAAATATTATGAACAAGCTTTTCATGTTGATTTTTCATCCTTTCAAAAAATTGTGTTAAAGGTCCAATCTGGATAAAGTTCAATGAGAGGAGCTTTGAGAATTGCAACAATGCCAGAGAGAAATCCTTGACTTGGGAAACTGCATAGAAGTGGAGATAAGGCTCGTGTACCAGCACAATTTCACACAAGATATATTCTCTAAGTGCTATAGGGAGATACTAATGTGTGTAGTGTCAACAGGGAGATTCAGGAATGATCCAGAAGATGCATTGGTTTTATATATATCCCATTTTCTGGAGTGCTTGCTCCGCCTCTCCACTGTATTCTGTTCTCCATAAAACACTTAGATGCTAGAAGCCCTAAGATTACTCTCTTGATTTTTAAATGTCTGAATTTCATTGAAAGTTAATACACGCAAGCGGCAATTCACAAAAAGTAAAATAATTCTTTTTGTTATTTTATTAAACAGTGTAGACAACAAAGAAGTGTCTCCAAGTGGATTTAACTTTCTGTGGCTCATTTTGCAGTGTTCTTTCCATTGATGATGTCATTCTGGGAGATTAGCCTTTCAACCCAGCAGCTTGGCTTCATAAAAACACGCAGCCCTTCTTCCTCCTCTGTCCTCCCCACCAAATAGCATAACAGTTACAGTGCTTTGATGATTACAATGCTTAATCCTTACAATGCTTTGATGATTGTTATTGTCACATAGTTACCTGCAAAAGCTGAAATGGAACTAAAATGCTAATAAAATAGTACTGTCTCTTAGAAATAAAATATTCATCCCCTTGAGGTAAATTATCTATTGCAGTTTCTAACATAGTCTTCAAGATATATAGGTAGATAGGTAGGTAGGCAGATAAATGATTAGATAGATAGATATTGGTCAATCACTTGTTACATAGTCTCCAAATATAATCAGGAATAGCAATAGTGTACATTAGATACATGAATAGACAAGCAGATCTGAGAGTGTGTTTCCTTGGTTCATACCTTTAAAGGAGTTCATACATTTCCTTTAGTAATTCACACATGACTGCTAAAGAATTTTTTGGTTATTTTTCCATTATACCTTCTGTTGACCTGTTTAAGAGGAAGAACATCATACTAGTTAGAAACCTGGGTTCTAATATGTTTTGCCTCCATCAGCTGTGTGAACTTGAGCAAATCTCATCAATATACTCAGGCTTTGTCTCCTCATCTGCAAAATTGGAAAATTTAGACAAACTTCTCTCAAAGTTCTTTAGCTCTAAAAATTGTGTGATACTATGAATTAAATTGTATAGGTTAAAACATCCTTATAAAGATGAATTGTATCTTTGGTACTTGATACTGTAATTATTCCATACTTGTTTTTGATAGTAAAGAAAAAGGATGCTTCATCGTTGAAATTAGTTCATTTCAGTTCAGTCACTCAGTCGTGTCCGACTCTGCAACCCCATGAACCGCAGCATGCCAGGGTTCCCTGTCCATCACCAACTCCCAGAGTCCACCCAAACCCATGTCCATCGAATCGGTGATGCCATCCAGCCATCTCATGCTCTGTCGCCCCCTTCTCCTTCTGCCCTCAATCTTTTCGCAGCATCAGGGTATTTTCCAATGAGTCAACTCTTTGAATGAGGTGGCCAAAGTATTGGAGTTTCAGCTTCAACATCAGTCAAGTAGACTAATTTCCTTGTTGTAGATGTTTTTATATAAATATGATGAAAAAATTCTGTAGAATTTTATCTCTAATTTAGAAAATATTTTTAATCTCAAAAGACTTCTTTCCTTTTTAGTTGATGATATATGCCTGAATTGATCATCATTGATCATCATTGCCTGAATTTTTTCTGACAAGGTTGTATAAAGTTAGCACTGACATGGTTCAGCAGATGATGTGACAGGCCAAAAACTAGTGATCAGGCATCTCACAGACTGATCAGTTCAATGATGAACCTCCCTCTCACTCTAGCTTTTTAAAATGAAACTATTGCACTGCCTATAGGGCTTTCCTGGTCGCTCAGCAGTAAAAAATTCACCTGCTCACGCAGGAAGTGTGGGTTTGATCCCTGGGTTGGGAAGATCCCCTAGAGAATGAAATGGAAACCCACTCTGGTATTCTTGCCTGGAAAATTCCATAGACAGAGGAGCCTTGTGGGCTACAGTCCATGTAATCACAGAGTCGGACATGGCTTAGCGACTAAACAACAACAGTGACACTAAGTTGAATATATATCATATGGCCTTAAGGATCTTTAAACCATCCATTATTGAGCAAAGGAGCAGCTCTTTAGAAAGGGACTATCTGATACATCATTTCCATGTATTCCATTCAAATTTTATCTTCTCAGGTTTTTCTTAATCTCTCTTGTTCAAACTGAACCCAGATAGTGTTATTTAATCCCAAATTCACATTTTGAAGCATCTTCCTATGATTTGAAGTCATGGTATTTCTTCAGATTAGCATAGAAGAGTATTTTACTGGCTACAAAATAATACATTGTTTCTGTTTAAATAAACAGTTTTTCTTTTTTAACTGCCATACAGGTTGTTTTCTTTAGTTCTGTGTGCATGTTGCTTAGCTCCCAGAATGCCAGCTCCTTTTATTTTCTTTCTTTCTCTCTCTCCTTTTTTTTTTTTTGGTTTATGTGTTTGTGTGTGTGTGTTTATCTGCAACTTATCTTACTGCACTTTTTATGGAGAAAGACAGTGAAATACAATTCTAATTGACTGTATTGTTTGATTAATTTTCCTCTTTGCCACCTGTTTTCGATGGCTCATCATTTTATTTTCTTTTGTTACCATTTATTACAGAGGAGGTGTCTGCAAGGATAGTTCAAGTAGTCACGGCAGAAGCTGTAGCAGTCCTGAAAGGTGAACAAGAGAAAGAAGCTCAGCCTAAAGATCAACCTCCTGCTCTGCCTTTAGGTAAATGAGAAAGTCTCAGGTCAGGGGCAGTGTCTGCTGCACCTCAATCACAGGATCAAGTCTTCACATTCAAAGACAGGCCGTATCTCGTACTCCATCCCTACTTGTGACATTCATCAAACGCCTCTGTTGGGATGCACTGGGACCTATTTTCACATTTCTCAACAGGCTCATTGTGGTATTTCAGTAGTCTTTAGAACAGTCAACTTATAATTACACTTTGCCCCTAAGTTGACCTTCATTTTTCTTTTCCAGACCACTAGAGATAGTTATTAAAAAAATAAAGCCAATGCACTTTGATGTCATGGCCCCCACTCATAAGGAAAATGTTCTAATGCTTTAATTAGATGTGATTGTTTCCCTTTATGGGTTTTGATTAATGATTATCTATACTACAGTCTCTGGGGTCTCCCTGAAAAGACTACCAAAACCTATAGCCAGAGATTGTTAGACTCATCAGTGGCTAGTACCTTATATGGGATACAATGATTGAATCCCATATAAGGTACTAGTCTTCACTTTGTTCATTTAAGGGCAATACATTAACCTCCTCCCTCCATTGCAAGTCAAATGCCCTGCAGGACCAAACAGGTAATATAATGGCACTCACCAAGGAAAACACTCTCAGCCAAAGATGTGGTGCCCCTACTCTCAATGGATAAATAGATGCTAGAAGTAGATGTGTATACATGCAGAGACACATAAAAAAGGAAATTCTCTTGCATTCAACATATGTTTATTTCACAGGTATGTATAACTAACCCATAGAAAGACGTGGTTTTTAAAGCCTAAAAATAGTATATAACTATTGTTCTTTCAGTCTTATGCATCTTTAATATTTGATTTTCTGATAAGCACTCCATTATCTATTAAAAATTAAACCATAAAAATTTCCTCTCTCTCAATAATAATTAAAAATAATCTAATTATATTCAATAAAATGTTCTTTGATGATCAAGGATTATTTTCACCTAAAACAGAGAGGGAAAAACTTATCTAAAACATTAGCTTTCTTTCTATGGTTTACTTCTGTTGTTTGAAATGAAAGGAAACCTTACTTTTTAAAAATTTTTTTTTAATTTTTATACAGTTGGAAAGTTATTTTCCATTTACAGCTATTACAAAATGCTGGCTATATTCCCCATATTGTACAGTACATCCTTGAGCCTATCTTACACCCAAGAGTTTACAGCTCCCCTTCTCTACCCCTGTATCGCCCCTCTTCCCTCCACACTGGTAGGCACTAGTTCGTTCTATCTGTGAATCTGCCTCTTTTTTTGTTATAGATACTAGTTTTCTGTATTTTTTAGATTCCACATATAAATGATATACACCATTTGTCTTTCTCTGTTTGACTTACTTCACTTAACATAATGCCCTGTTAGTGGCAAAATTTCATTAATTTTTAAAAGAAAATTTTCACTTAAAAAAAATAAAACTTTAAAATATCCCTTAGAAGCCCTCAAGGCTTATTTAAAATAAATTTTACCACTGGCCTTGACTGATAAATATTTCCTTTTAAAATCCCTTACCTTCATGTGAGTGGTCATAAAGAAGGTAAGTGTCTTCAAGAGGAAAAGGGAGTTAAGTGTGACTGAATTTCATCTTTTAGAGCATTTCTCTTTGGGCTTCTTTCATATGTAGTGCCAAGGCCAGAATATTTCTCAGCTCCCATAGTACATGTTTCTATCTGAAGGTTGCCTCAGGCTGTGACAGCTTCATTTTTCTTTTCTGAGAATACATATAGAAGATGGATTTGACATTATACTCAGTGAACAAAATGTTGTTTAAAAAATATATCTCCTAAAATAGCTGTGATTAGTTTCCGGATCAAGATAAACAATAGTTTCCAGCTCTCACATATTTTTAATCAGTCAATTCAAATCCAAATTAAAATGCTTACCTGGCTGGGTTTGAATGTAGTAAATTAGGACCAGAATTAAATATTTTATTAATTGAAAGAGCAGACAAAAATTAACGAGATTAATGATAGAATTTTGGAAGTTATCTCTAATCCATTTTTATGGAGTGACTTTTTTAAATATTAAATGCTCTTCTTTTTTTAGGTTTTCAAAAATTTATGAATCAGGTAATGGGGCTGACATAAAATAAGTCAACTGCAACTTACTGTTGAATCTTTCCTTGAATTTCATAGAGTCCTTTTTACAGATGGCACAACCCCTACACACCCACTGGGTTAGTAGGATTAATTGTTGTATCTCATTTTTCCATTGTTTGATCTTTAGCAGCTGAAGAGACAGCTAATCTGCCTCCTTCTCCACCCCCATCACCAGCCTCCGAACAGACTGTCCCAGTGGAGGAAGGTAAGGCCTGTTGGACTCTTTGAGGTTTGTCTTCTTTTGAGGGTAAAGAAACCTCAACCCATAAATGCTGGACTTTGGTATGGGTTAGTATGTGACCCAGCTTGGGAGCTGGCTGTTTCAAATAGCCAAGAAGAAACAAAGACTTTAATTAAATGTATTATCATTTCTGTATATAAAATCAAAAGTAGAGGAACATGGTAAATAAAACAGGAAAAATCTGCTGGATAAAGGAAAAGATAACATGGTGTTCAAGTGGCTAGCTAGAATAACTACAGAGAACTAGTTTACTTCATGTAGAATGTTTTAAAGAGTAGATACAATTTAATTTTATAAGTGACTGAATAAAAATAAATATATTAATGAAATCAATAGACTTGTTTTGGAAGGGTTGGCAGGAGCTGTGTCTGTTGTGCTCACTATTGTATTGCCAAGGGCTTCCCCAGGGCCAGACCTGTAGCAAACTCTCAATAAATATTAATGAATAAATGAAGAAGTCAGTGAACAAATTTGATATTGAGAGTAGTGAACTGGAAACTGAGATCATGGCTTCTTTCCTGCTGAGACCTTTTATTGTCCATGAATCTATTTATGCATTCAGTCAACATGGAATGCCGTGTCAGCTTTTCAGTTCGCAATGAAGAAGCAGACAGATGCCTCTGAAGAATATCCATTTAGAATCTGAGATGAAAGACACTATTTAAAAGCTAACTATTATTGGTTCTCTGACTTAGACCAGTTAACTTTTGTCTATTGTTTGAGAGTTACAGGAGAAGAAGAAAGCTTTGAAAATTTATTGAAAGCTTGCTTGTATCAATGTAATTTACTTTTCATATACTAAAATCAGAATATTAATACTTTTCCATTTTAGTCATTTATTTGTTGACTTATTTTTCCTTTTGTTGTGCCTTTTATAGCTCATTTTATTGTGTTAAAAATTAAATAAGATCACAAAAGAATCACTGTCTTTTTATAATCCGTAATTAGGTTTGTTTACATTATTTTTTTAATTACTAGAGGTTATTCTAAATTACTGAACTATAAACTATCAATAAATATAGTTTATTTTTGTCATAGATTTATAAACTTAAACCTTTTTTAGCAAGATTTTTTTTCTTAAATTGAGGCCTTTTTTTCTAAGTTTACTGCCTGAAATAATTAGTCTAAGGAATAAAAGAAAATTTGAGGACTATAAACATTGCATATAATCAGTATCATTGTAACCACTGATGATTAGTTAATTCCCTAAAAATGTGATTTGATCTTTTTAATTCATAGATTTGAAAGATTCTTTCTGGCCTTGATTTTATCTGTTCATTTGTATGGAGCACTTTGCACTCTTCAGATTCTCAAAGTGTACATTAGTAAGCAAAACAGACATGATCCTTCCTTATAAGAAGCACAAATCTGGTGGAGAATGGAAATCCAGTAAATAAGTTCAGCACTAGGAAGGAAAAGAACAGGGAGATTTAAGGTAAAAAAGAGTAATCTTCCTTTATTGGTTGGTGAAGGGAGCTGATCTCAGAAGCCTGAGGACGTGTTGGCCAAGGAAAGATGGAGGAAAGGGGCAATTTGCGCAGAGGGACCAGGATGTGCAAGGGCTGTCAGGTGGGAAAGTGCATGAAGTGCTCTGGGACTTGAAGGAGTCCCAGGGCTAATGTGTGAGAGATGGGTGGAGGAGAGGAGCCTGGGAGTGAGCAGCAGCTGGCTTGGTTCAGGCTCCTGGATTTTCCTCTGAATGTAGTGGAAAGCCTTCCATGATAGCTCTGCTTCCCACAGGTCACGGAAAATGTTTCTGAACCCCTATTTAAAGCCTTTCCCATGTCAGGGAATCCTCTTAACCCAGAGAGGGGTATGAAGTTGACTCCCAAGTCACCTAGAGGTCAAGTAATTCATTCTTCTTACTGTTATATGTGAGTTTGAGTTAAAAGGGTAACAAGGTCTTCCCAGCCATCTGAGACTCATCCAGTCTGTTTCTGGAGGGTGTACCATAGATATAATGAAAGTATAAATTAAAAATAGAATCAATTTCATATCTTGGTAACTTAGGTGTCATATTCCAAAGTAACTGTTCCTTCATATTTCGGGATTGTTTTCCTCAAGGGAAAATGTCAACTTACTTCCTACTGAAAGTAATTTGAAGATATTTTTAACATTTTCAAACTGAACATGTATTTTTATTGAATTTTTTTTTCAAAAGAAAGCCTCAACCTGTACAAAGTCTTAATGATTTGCTTTTAAAAAGATAACCATATTTTTTAGTTATGTAGAAAATATATAATTTCAAACTTCATTAATTTAAAAGATTGGGTAATATTTTTACCTTAAATTTATGAAAGACATGTGATCTAGGCAATCAAACTAGTTCCTCTCTTTTATTTTAAACCACTCTTAAAGTATGTATAACAACTTATTTGTTTTATCAGGAAAAAATTAGTGAAAATCCACAAGACAAGAATCAACTTTTCAAATTTTCAGATCAATTGGTTTGTAAAGACAAAGCAAAATTTCTTAATATATAGCTTATGAGCTTATGAGCACATTGCCTGGAAAGAAAGCAGGTGAATTTTTCCATCTAGGAGATTTTTTACCCTCCTCAAAACACCCTTAAGCAACTTCAATCTAAAGGCACAGTGAATGTCACAGTTCAGTCCTTTTATGTAAATGTTCTTAGATTAAATTGAGTATTTCATTGATTTCGAGGATAGACTTTTTATTAATTAGCAAACATTCTAAAAGCTGTACTTTCCCGAAGGGGAAGCATGGATGCTTCTACTAAAAATAATTTAAGATGTTAATTATGGTCGTATATGAATATTCATTTATTATAATTGGTGTAATATTCTTAAGTCTAGGTACTTATTCTGGGGAACAAAGAGATTTTGTTGAAAAAAATTAAGTAAGTAGCACACTTAGAAAGGAAACCCAGGTACAGTGAACCAAACTGAACTAGTTATTGTATTTTCAAATTAAGTTCCCCTTTCTTTTTGGCCTAACAATAATAGTTATCACTTGAACTGAACTGTTAGAATTTGGAAGCCCAGGCAAGAGCAATGGAAAAATCTGAAACAGAACCAGGAGTCCTACCCTGTTAGGTTTGCTCCAGCATCCTAGGCTGATGATTTCCTGTGTCAGTGATGTGGCCACACTGTAACTGTTAACCCAGCAGCTTCCCTCTGGATCATTCTAGGGCAGCAGACACCGTTGGCAAACTGGGAAGTCCTCAGTCCGAAACTTGTAGACTGGATAGGGCTTAGAGATGGTGGGGCAGTATATGAGAGAGTCAGCTGCTCTAGGCCATGGGGTAGAAGCTGTGATGCCAGGACAGGCAAAGTCACCAAGTCGGAGTCACTAACACCCCCAAGATGTTCAGTCTCTGATAAACGTGACGACTCATTGTACCCTAGGGGGCTGACAGATCAAGACTGAATTTTGTGTGGCAAACTTTACCCAATATAAATTTTCAAATGCTTCTTTTAAAGAAAATTTTGTATGAAAGCAAATTAGGGGCAGTGTGGTTCTCCAATGAAACCAGCTAAGCTTCATTTTTAAAGATTATCATTGTGCAAAGGAACTATGTCAAAGTCCAAGGTTCACAAGACAACCCTTCCCTTTAAAACAGTACATTATTAAATGAAACAGACTACTTCGTGGCATAACCAAGTGTCCAAAAGCAAGTGTACTTATAGTAAAAGGAGACATTCAATCCTGGCCTTAAAGAGTGAAAGTGTTATGAATTCATTTTTCATAAATCTCCTAAGTCTAGCTTTGATGTATCAAATCAAGAGTAAAGAGTAAAGGTACATGACAACTTGTACTAAAGATAGAGATATTAACGCCTATGGGATCAAGAATGATTCTTGGTGCTTTCTCAAATACCTTCCCATTTAATCCTCCAAGCAGCCCACACAGAACACTCACACAGATAATACTCACTTCCACTGTTGCCCAGGATGTCACAGCTAATAAGTGGCTTATCCAGAATTTACATTCAAATCTGCTATGCTCAATTGCTTCGGTCGCGTCTAACTTTTTGCAATCCCGTGGACTGTAGCTCACCAGGCTCCTCTGTCCATGGGATTCTCCAGGCAAGAATACTGGAGTGGGTTACCATGCCCTCCTCCAGGGGATCGTCCTGATCCAGAGATTGAATCTGTGTCTTCTGCACTGCAGGCAGGGTCTTTACTCACTGAGCCACCTGGGAAACCTAAGTTCCTACAAGCACAGTCTCACCGCATCGCTAAAGCTCTATGTTATCGAGCTAGGCTCTTACTGTGGGACAATGAGAGTGAAGTCATCTTCTAATGAGAGTGTTTTGGTTACAAGACACTGGACTGATTTCCTTTTTTTTTTTTTCAAACCACTCCCAAGTAACTAATTCATTCATTTATATAATTTATTTATTATGTGTCACACCTCCATTTGGGTATGAACTGAGAGCACTTGCCATACACAGTCATATAGCAAATGAGGGTCTCTTGTCTTCTAGCATTATCACTGGAAGCCCATGCACTGGTACACTCTCTGAACTTAGCCAGCCAACATGGTCCTCTAAGCATCACTTCACTGGCACATCTCTGGGACATGTAATGTAGACGAACTTCAGGCTCATTGGTCCTAAACAGAGACTTGGAGTACCCCAGAGGGGACTGGGTTTTGCCAGACCTTCTTTTTGAAGTTGCCTGGCTAAGAGCCAAATACTACAGAGAAGCTACTTTTCCACTGATACCCTTAAAGTTGTTGTTATTTTTGTTGTTCCCTGATTAGCCAAAGTTTTCAGAATAGAAAGTACTGTTTCCTTGAAATGTTCTGGATCTGAAGCAAGACTCTGGGTTGTTTTCACATTTTGGCACTTTCAAGAAACAACAACAAGCAACAAGAAAGAGGAAGCCAAAATATTCGAAAGGCTGAACTATCCAAGGAGAATTGCCTTTAAACTATCATCTCTCAGGTTTAAATTCTTTAGTTTTGAATTGTAGTCTGCTGTCCTCTCTAGAAAATGT